GTGTGTGTGTTTTTGTGTGTGCGTATAACTGGTCTGAATGGCAGGATGAAGGTCCTTTTCATCTATGGAGCCTTTTTCACTACCTGTGCTTGATGTAAAGACAAATGGGACAGCACTTCTCTGAGAGGGTGTGTTATAATAAAGACAATCTTAAAAGCCTGTTGCTTTGTGATGAGAGCTCCAAATTCATTCGCTGAAAGGTTGTTTCAAACAGGAAATTTGCTTTTTGTCTCTCTGCAGCAACATCTGTTGAATGTAAACAGCTTCTTTTTTTTGCTCCGCTATTCCCTGAGCAGTTTATCTGAATCAGTAAAAAAGCCAAAGACATTTAAGTTTCTTTCCTTTCCTGCATATTTATCTTTGTTTATTGACTGAATGAATCAACTAACTGGGTCTATCCATCTGTCTTCCCTTCCAGAGGACACAGCCTTCGAGGCAGGTGTGCGGGTGCAGATCCACAGCCAGGCAGAGCCCCCCTTCGTTCACGAGCTGGGCTTCGGCGTGGCCCCTGGCTTCCAGACTTTTGTAGCCACACAGGAGCAGAGGGTAGGTGTCCCTGACTCCCACTCATACACAGTTAATAGCTTTTTTTAATCATTTCTCTTCCTTGTGCTGTTTTTCACGTCTAATCCGCATGTTCAGCTTATCGCTCAGAGATAAAAAAATAAATAAATAAAAAAGTAAAAGGCATGATGGAATTGCGTGCATTCATGTGTGTGAGTGGGTTTGTGGCTGCTTGTGTGTCCCAATACCCTCAGGATACCCAATTGGCCTCTGTGGTCTCTTGGTAATTGTTGACTGACAAATGATAACTTCCAGTGGCTTTGACCTTGCTGGTAGAGAGGTGCCTCACTTGAACTCAGCCACACTCAATCTTACTGAAGCTTTGTTCCATCACACAGGGCCAATATTAAAGGCTGCAGGTCTATATACAGAGCCGAAGGTATTTGATGTAAATGTCACCAGAGGCTTGTTTTTCACTTCTTCTCTTTTTCCTCCTTTTGGCTTAAGTTGAACAATCCTCAGAGAGGGTGTTTCTACAATGCCAAGCTGCATGTCTTTATATTATGACTAGGGATCCATTTTACCAAAGGTTATTAGTTCTGTCTTTCATTGTCAATGTTTTTGTCTTTTTCTATTTCTCTTTTTCTGCCTCCAAGTTAAGCTTTTAAAAATGTACTGCCTGGCTGAACAGTGTGAGTTGAGCAGACATAGATGTCAAGATAAATGTATTCCCCTCTCATTTTTTAAATGGTGTTATGTCTATGCCATTTGAATGAATTTTCTTTTCCTTTGGCATTTAAACCTGCAAAAACGGATTGTTTGTCCACTTGGGGGCAGCAGAAACAAGCTGTAAATACATATTAACAACTTTAAAATTGATACAAGGAACTTGTTAGTAAACAGTTACAGCCTATTTACTCATCCAGCAGACACGGACCAGCATTTGCATTCATTTGGAGTTGTTTCTGGCCACCTGGCAAATGTGAACACTTTATTCCCAACTAAATGCTCTGCTGTGTTCACCTGCTAGTTTATAACTTTGTGTGTCTGCTGTTTGATGCTTAGTAGGTAGTGTACAATGGGTTTTCAGAGATTTTTCACTGCCTGCTGCAGCCAAAAACCAAACTATGAGAGCATGGAGCCAAAACACAAAAGTTGCGTGCAGTAAAACAATGAGCTGGAAGTTGCATAAAAGCTTCGTAGGGATGAGGAGAACTGCAGAGTCTGTGGATTTAATCACTACAAGTGTTTCATACAACTAAACATTTGATCCAAGGTAAAGTATAGATTATAGCAACTGAAAGTAATCAGGTTACATTCCAGTAGCTGATTTCTCAAACATCATGCAAAGGAGAAACCAGTTTTTCATAAACACAGTAGGGAAGTAGAGAAACCTGATTTCCCCAGCTAGATTTCTCCTGAAGAAAGCTGATTTTCTTGGCCTTGTGAATGTATCACTGGGTTTCTAATTGACTTTTACAAGTATGTGCGTGACAAGACTTCAGAACGTGTTTTTCAGAAAGGGAAAGTTTTCCTGTGACAGGAGGGCGGGAGGATGAAAAGACGGATCATTACTCGCAGCTATGCATCCTTGTATTTAAAATAATTCCATCTGTCTAAATAAGTCGGTTTCTACCACCAACACTAGACTGTGTGCAATGTTCAATTGCATTTGGTGCTCGTCTATCATCACTGATATAGTTCAAATAAAACAATAGTTTTCAGATGGGGGATTTACAGTAACCAGGTTTATAGTGCATGTAAACATGTTCTCCCTGGTTTTTCACTTGCTAGGTGTGCACTTTATGAGGCTGAATAAAAGATTATTAAAAAAAGGAGTTCAGTTTGAATTTTAAGAACTTCTCTTCAGCAGAACTGAGTTGAAACATCGCCTCACTACATCACAGCTCAGTGTGGTGCTGTGATACAGAGAGTCACCTCAGCAGGTAGGCAGGAAGGGGAAGAGTAGCTCTATCCAGAGATGGTTAGGCCTCCTGGGTAATGAGCCTCCAGGGTTTCTCTCTTCTCATCTGTCCCAGTTCTTGTGATTGGCAGGGCGGAGACAGGCCCTTCTCTGCCTGCCTGCTGTGAAAACACTGCCCCTCTTCACAAGCCCCGCACAGTGGGAAACTCAGCAAATTTAGCTCCAGCTAATTAATGCAGAACTGCACTTTGTATCGGAAGGGGAGAAACCCTCCTGCTGTGAGAAGTTCCCACCTGTCTCGTCAAGCTTCATCTTCTGTAGAAACCCAGAGGGCACTTTCAAATATGTCCAAGAACAATCACGGTAATGATGATTGGGTAGAGTATCTGGGGCGAAGATTTGGGATGGGGCCTTGTGGAGTATGTTGAAAAAAACCCTGGTGATTAGTGGATCTTTATAATGGATACCAATCAGTCTGCCTGTGAAAATGACTTTGACAAAGGGTTTAAATGAACTAATTTTGGCTAATAATATTGGGCCTAGATCAAAGCCGCCTCGTCAAGTTAGCTAAAGGCACAAAGTACGCACAGTGAGTCCTCACATGGAGGCAGGCAATTTCAAATTTAAGCTCTCCAAACATAGAAATCGCCCTTCTGTTGGCTTTTGACTGAAGCAAAAAGGGCATGGTGGTCCCTTGGTTAAGAAAGTCATTCTTCCCAAGGAATAATAAAAAAAAAACCCTTTGCTGTCTTTTGATGCAAGCTTAGGGTCTTTCTATTTCAGTTTAGCTCCTCTTCTGTCAAAAGAAAGAGAATATACCCACAGTAGAGGACACTTTTTGGAAATGTGTGACTTGCTTCTGTATGCTGATTTGACGTTGAGGTCCACCTTAAACCAGCACAGTACAGTTTCCTCTTCAGATCACCCAACCAGCACTATTGCAATGACCTTATTAAAACCCAACCTGTCCTCACACCCAACTTTTTTAACAATGTCCCTGCTGACAGAATTGTAAAGCCTAATTAAAGCATTGCTCTGGTATAACTGGGGAATGGAACATTGATTAATAACACAGTGGGTGGTGCACAGGCCTTGGCTCTTATTAGATATACCATAATCAGGTCAGCAGGTCTCAACACAGTGAAAAGTGATACTGAGCACCTTGGATTATCTGATTACAAAGAAATAATCAGATCTCGAATCAGCCACATCTGACTCTAATTAGGCCGAACTTAGCTGAGGTATGAAGGTGATTTTAAAGGTTAATGATCGCTGAAAAGCACCTTTCTTAAGTCCCTTAATAAAATTATTAGCAGCTGGATGTCGGTATTCATTGCTTGTGCTTGCTGGTGGCATATCAGGGAGGGTATATTTAATTATCACAGGAGTCATTATAGAAAAAAGACATAAATGGCCAGAGGCAATGTTTGGACATTGAAATATTCAGCATGCTAGATTGCTGTTTGGATTGTGTTTGAATTTACTGAGTTAGGGAAGTGATTGTATCTGCAGACCTAAAGCCTCAAACTCCCTAGAAGCAGTGAGACAACATCGCCTGATCGGAGGGGCAGGCTTTCAAATTCTGTCAGTACTAACAAGCAAACTGTGGCCAGATTTCACCTGGCAGGATGTTGTGTTTTGCCTCATCCAAAAAAAAATTGCTCTCTTGGCAAAGAAAGCGGCCTCACTTGGGATGCATTGTGATGACAATGAAGGGAACAGGGGGACAGAGGGTGGTGGGTGATGGATACCAAGAGCGCTGCTAGAGCGCACTGCATGTGTTGTGGAGCAGATGGGCCTCCACACTGCTCGGCCCGGTGTCCCTCGTTCCTCATCTGCTGTCCCAGCCCTCAGAGCTGCAGGAGCAGGAGGAGAACATTTGGAGTTTGTGTGCTCCCGTCGCCGGGCGTTGTGGGATTTCTACGACAGAGTCTGGCTATCTGTTGAATTGTTTTCCGCACCGCCTGGTTTGTTGTGAGGCTCTTCGGCTTCTCTGTACTGGCCAGGTTTCAAAGACTAAGGCACACGTTTTGGGGAGCTGCTGTCAGGATCTGTCCACATTTTGGGCTTAATACATGGATTTTCTCTGTATATGTGTGTTTGCAGGAATTATGTCTTGTAAAGTCTGAAAAAGTATTGAATTCAGTTCCCTCTTCAAAGTTATCAAAAAACTTTTTAGTTTTTTGCTTTCCATACCCAGTAACAGTAGTTTATATGTTGTGGGCTGTTGGGAGACAATCTGCATGTATATGTGAGATTGGTGCAACAGTGGATTGTGCATGCAACAGGCTGTTAACTAAGAATCATTTAAAAGATGAGATAATAATTTTAAGCCCTGTCGTCCCAATTGGTTTTCCTCGGTATGACCATGAAGAAGATATTAAACTGCATTCTATGTAGTATTAAAAAGGTCTTATAAAGTATTACATTGTGTATGGTGAACCCCAATGTGTGTATTTGATCTTCCAACTAACCCCGCACCTCCTTCCTCACCTGCAGCTGACCTACCTGCCTCCCCCGTGGGGAGAGTGCGAGTCGAAGGCTCTGGAGTCTGGCTTTTTCCAGGTCTACAGCGTAACTGCCTGCAGGATTGACTGTGAAACACGCTACATTGTGGAGAACTGCAACTGCAGGATGGTGCACATGCCTGGTAAGCACCGTTAAAACAAAACAAAAAAAGTTTTCAGCAAGGTTGCAGTATTTCATGGGAGATTAAACTGCATTGAGAGGCCTCATATTGATATGACAAGTCAATACTGGATTAGGTGTTGGCATTTAAAAAAGCCCTGGGATTATGCATCTGGCAGGAAAAGGGTGCTGCGCCTCACATATTGTTTCTAGACTCATCCAACTGTTTATAGTTTGTTTGACAAGTTTTCCAAAAACACTTCCACTGACTGAATTCTGACTGAATGTGTTTCATTAAAACTTCCCAGGTGATGCTTCTTACTGCACACCTGAGCAGTACAAAGACTGCGCTGAGCCCGCCCTTGGTAAGTCTGCACATACACACAACCTCCCGAACATGAGTCAAGAAGACACACACATGCTGTATTTTCTGGTTTACATATCATTATTTTCCTCAGCAAGGATTAGGCTTAACTTTTTTTCATGTTGATACAGAGCTTTAATGCTAAACCTGCTTTAAAGATGAGCAACACAGGAGAGAATTTTAAGCTTGAGACGGCTCAACTGAAGAGCAGCTACTGTACGTCATCGTGAATGCCAAAACACTGAAGTAGGAAAAGATATCTACTTCAGCACCGGGTGATAGTCGCCGTTGCACCGCACACCCTCTCTCTCTGTCATTGGACCTCATTTAAAAGGGAAATTGCATCGTCAAGGAATAACTCGGCATGTAAATTCTGCAGGCACACAACTGGTCTGCTAATTACACTATAGCACTTTATGTTGGAAAGTCAATGTGTCACTACTTTTTGATTTATCAAGAGAACGGGATTCATCTCAATATTTCCTCTCGTGTGTGAAGGGCTCATCAAGTCTGTAACCAACATCAGAGCAGACAGGGACTGCAGTGTTAGAGTTCAATTTAATGGATGGATGGTCAGATAGATAATGGCTCATATTTCCTGCATTGAGCTAAATTATACCGCCAGTTAAGCGGTTTTTGGCAGCCTTTATCCAGTCCTTCAAGTTCAAGATTTTATATTAACTTTGTCAGTTTTTATTAACTGTTGGCCCGTCCAGCTGTTTTAAATTATTGATCTGATTTTCTTTGTTTTGACTTTTTATGAAATGGCCTTAATGTCTCAGTGTAATAATTTACCTTTTGCCATAGCGGTACACTGGAGAGAGCCTCATGAAAGTCAGACAAGTTGCTTTTTAAAGGGATTTTATCCAAATTAGTTTTTTGGAGAGTTTAAACATTTTTTAAAGCAGCAGGCTCATAAAGAGATGTTTTCTCATCTTTTTCCTGTATTTGATTACCAAGTTGAGCCTATCCCAGCCTGTATTTAAAAATGACATTAACCAACAATGTATTCTTCCATTAAGACACCAAAGAAATAGTCCAGAGTAACAAATACTGTAATACAGATCTAGGGTCTTTGTGTCAGTGTGTCAAGCAGACACACTCAGCTCAGTTCACTAATTGTTAATAATAAATGCAAGTGAAACATCTGGAGGAAAGGGAGTGTGAACAAGACTTGAACAGTTAATTCAGATTTTTTAAAGTGGGGTTATGAGGTACTTACCCAGAGGGAGTTTACTACCTTCATTATGGCAGTCTAAGGCGAGAAGAGATGTACTGCTGTGGACAGGAGCAGCGGAAAAACACATTTTAGCCACCTAAAAAGCTAAGTGTAAGTGTACGCTATATTTATATATATATATATTTACCTTGCTGGCAGACAACCCTTTTCGGTGGGAAACTGCCTTCATATCGTTCTCTCTAAAGCTGCTAGACTCCTTTGACAAAAACAGTAATTTTACCTTGCAAAACACAGGAGTTGCTGGTATTCTGCTGCCTCGATCGGTTAGTTTGTTTGTGTTATTGTGTAAGTTTGGTGTTTGAACGCGTAAGTTCAGATCCGAACTAATATTTCTGCTGCCCCTGACCACAGCAGTACCTCTCTTAGCTTCCATTCCAGTATTTTTATCCACTTCTGCCAAACTGGGGCTGTGCCGACTGCCTTTTACTGGCGGTAATACACTGACTATGGATAAGTACAATACCTGAACCCCACTTAAAAAAGTCTGAACTAACCCTTTAATCTGTGATCCTCACAATGATGTATCACACATTGGGGCTACAGAGATGCCACATGAGCGCTGCAAGAACGGTGATTCGCACGCTTGTGTTTTCTCCCACAAGTCTTTGATGCTGGTGGAGGTTAAGAGTGAAGAAAACATTAAAGGAGTTGAAGACAGATTCTCAGCAGTAACACACATCTAACAAAGCCATTACCCTGCAGACCTTCTGTTCACCGCAACCACCGCTTTCTGTGAATCTTTGAACATAAACACAACGATTGCACAGCGGTTGTCTCCTGTTCAGTAATGAGACAAGCCTAAATAATGTTATACGTTACCTGGATGTGACTCCAGTTAGTGAGTCTGTGTGTATCCCTCCATCGTTCTGTATCACAAAATAAGTGAAAGACAACACAGAGAGGAAAATAATTATATCATGATACGGCCCGATCGTGAACGGATTAAACCTGAACTATAAATCAAATCCAGCTTTAATTATCCTCAAGTATTTTTGGACCTTCTTTTGTTTTTTTTTAGATGTATTTATGCACATCAAAACAGGAGATCTCTACTAAAAGAACTTATATTTACTTCCATTGTACTGGGGTGGAGGTCTGTATTACCAGATTCCATGAGGTAAATGAGAAAATGTGTTGTTTTTCTGTGTGATTTGGGCTTACTGGCCCTAAAGCTAAACCCATTTAACAAATGATTGCATAGTAATTAAAAAATTTTAGCATACTTGATATGATTAACTAGTAGTAGTATTAATTGTATGATTTGCATTTTACTAAATAAAAGCAAACAGTCTGTTAAAGCACATACATAAACATACAGATATAATAAGTTAATTTGAAAGCATGTTTAGTAATGTATGACCTTATCAACCTCATCTGTTGGTTACAGCAACATTAGAAAAAGCTTTCTCTCCTCCCACACCAGTCTCTCTGCTCAGCCTCCACCCCGAGGAGAATTATTTCTAAAAAGCCACAGCAAAAAAAAAAAAAAAAGCCAAGGGTAACAAAACTTTCTGGCAATCAGCATCAAGGCCGCGGGCTCCTACACCATCAGAGCATTCTGTGTAACTCACCAATGTGTCATTAGCATGCACTCAAAACAACACGTTACACTGCATGATGCAGTGGGAGCGTCGGAGGTTTTGGTGCTTATTCCAGACAGCTCTCTCTCTCTTTCCTGTAATTGGCTTCATTTTTGGAACAGTAAGGCTTTCACAGTCCTAACACACACACGTACACACTCACTCAGCTTGGATCATTGAATGCAAATGAATTCTCGTTTTAAACTCAGTGCCAATTTGCTATACCCACCAGAGAGGATTTCGCCCTGCAAGGTTTGATTGGGTTTTCCTCTCTACATAACTGTGTCACTCAAGTTTTGGGGACGGCACTGAAAATATTTTTTTGATAGGAAACGGCTGCATCTGTGTGCGTTTGTGAACAATGTGCTTATCTAGCCGCTTCCTTTTGAGGAAACTGAGACGGCTTATAATTACACACGCAGACAGAAAACACACTTATTTGCGTTATAGCTGCTAAACAGAAGACTGAACCTGCCAAAAGTGTCCAAAATAAGTGGTTATATCAGTTGTCTTCCTGTCAGAAATATATTTATTTATTTCTTTATCAGGTGGTTTTAACACATAGTTATTATTTTGAAAAAGTTATCAGGAAGAAATGTATTATGGTAATTATGGTAGATCTTTTAGATTTAAATGGGTGTGTGAGAGAAAAGGAATGAGAACAGTGGACAAAGGTGAGAGGCTTAGAGAAAGAAATCAATCATTTGAATGCACGAGGCCTTGCTCCTGTGTATCCAATAACGTCTCATTTGAATAAAAATAAGAGACCACTGAGAAGTCATATTGAATTTCCTCTTGCAATTACGTGACTGTGTGGCCTCGCCTGCTATTAGGGCACCGTGGGGGATTGCTGCCTTGTGATCTGTGGGTTGCGGGTTGTGCCACAGAGAACTGTCTAAGTGAGAAATAAGCCTGATAACTTCTTCTTTCCTTTCCATTCAGAGAGTGCGCGGTGAGATTTTAAATCCGAAACAGATTTTGAAGTCCAAAGAGAGAAGTTTTTGGTTGTGAGAAAGGATCTGGTAATCTCTGCTGAAATTAAATGAGATCTATTTAAACTTTGCAACTAAAGAAAATTCAGTCTTCAGCTTAAAGAAAGTGATGTGAGGAGTGTGAGCCGCCTCGGTGCCGGAGAAGCTTTTGATGGAGCTATATTTGAAAGGCTTGTGTCGCTTAACATTACCATCACTGCGAGAGAGTTGGTGTTATGTAGGAGGCTGTGGGCTTAACACAAAATCATCTAGTGCATTTTAGTTTTTTTTTTCTTTCTCTGAGTCAAACTGCCAAGGCAGAGCCGTGAATAGAGGCTGGCGTTTCTACATGAAGACTTTGTTTCTGTCAGAGTAAAGGCTGTTTCACGGATGCTGCTTCAGGCCGTGTTTGTGTTTGGTGCTTTACATTCGCTCCTCTGTGACTTTGACAATGACATTGACTTGTTCTGTTGTTAAGGCTTTTATGGAGTAAACATCCACGCAACTGAAGACGCAGTATGAATGGAGCCATTTGCACAACTGTGCAGTGGCGGAACTAGACTTTAATACAAGGGGTGGTCAAGGCTTTATGAGAGGGGTCTATATACTATGCCTAATAAAGGAAAATCTTGGGAAACCGCAAGTCGGATTCGAATCCGGGTCGCCAGCTCTACCGACTGAGCTAACCTGGCGCCGACACTGACCGACCGTCATTCATTCAGAAAAAAACACCCGTGGGAAAAGTTGGTCTTGGGAAAACAAAGAGAAGGCTGCACATCGTAAGGACGGAAAGAAAAAGTTAAAAAGGTACCTTGGGAATACAAAAAGAGGAAAGGCTGCACATCACGCGGAACACTAGGACGCCAACAAAAGACTCAGAACTCAAAACGATCAAATAAAGACCGCATTGGTATTAGAATTAATGAATAACGTTGCCTGCGTGAGGCAAGCTTCATGTTGGGAGGCAGCCCAGATATCTGGACTCGGCTGGGGGTTCTGTCTGTGGCCCTGGATCTGTTTTTTTTTTTAGGCAAAAAATTTGGAAATATCCCTTCCTCTTCATTGTTATCTGTTTATTCTGCCCTTCTCTGTTTGCGTTTAAAAAATCTTGCTGTTATTCAACGTGACATAAGCAGTGACCTGTCAAATCAACTGGGGTGGCACCCAGGGTGTCCAATCAGGTTCTAGGGCTGGCCAGTGGTACCCCGGCCACCCCTCTAGCTCCGCCCCTGCAACTGTGTGTTATTATATGCCTGAGTTTTTATGTACTGTATGTGTAACCGCTTTTAATCAGATAAAGAATGATAGATGTATTTTTCTCTGCCTTTCAACTTTAGTTTGAGCACAATAAACTTTAATGTGTATCAGCCGTGATAAAGCACTGACATGCAGCTGCGCTAAGACACTATAAAGATGTGGTGACTCAGAAGTAATTGGCTGTGGTGGGTTCAAACTAGTATGGTTTTAGTTCACCCTTATGTTGCTTAGATACAAAAAAAAGAAAAAAAAGGTGAGAAAAGAACATTACAAAGAACTGATTTAAAATGATTGAAGCCCTGCAATGTATATATAATATTTTTTCGTCACACTAAATAATCATTGTATATAAAATGTCAGAAAATAGTAAAAAAAAAAAAATGCTCTTTCTAAGATTCTAAGATGATCTCTGTTGATGTTGTTTGGTCAAACTAACAGTCCAAAAATGCAACATGTTCAATTTCCAATTATAGAGAATTGAGAAAAGCAGAAAATGCTTATACTTGAGAGGCTGTAATGAAGGCAACATTTGTCATTTTTGCTAAAAAACTTTATATATTATCAGAATTGTTGCACAATTTCCAATTGGAGACTAATTTTTATTATTATTATTTTATATTATTTTTTATAAAGACTTAAATGTGTCTAGAAGCTTATCGTGACTTTACAGTGACCTTATTGTATCATAATGTGTAATTGCTTATAATAATGGAGAGGAGAACAGATACAGTCAGCCCATAGTCAGCTGATTGAAGAAGGAGAGTGAGAGAATTGTGAATGAAGGAGGCAGTCTTCCTGAACTGAGCTTCATTTTGCAGCCTCAAGAGTGAGTTGATTTTCTGCAGATGATCTCCTCCTGGTCTTTTTATTGCATTTTATTATTACAGCTTATTCTGGGCAGAAGTTCTCAGAATAAAAAAAAAGACGTTGGTTTTCCAGTTGAATATGATTTGCCGCAGGGGTGAAGGCTTAAACAAACTGGCATATTGTCAGCAGAATATTCTTAACCACAACTTCATACCCAAAGCAGGGGCAAGATATCTGTGAATCTGGGAATCTATTTGGGACATTTTCTGCCTTCAGAGTGATTGAAATGTAAAGGAAAAATCTCACTTTGTGTCTAAAAGAGCATTTTTTCCCTTGTGTTCATCATCCTCAACCTATCCTACCACATTTCATTCCATTTTACTCCCCCATTGTATGCTCCTCCCCTCTCCATCACCCTCCTGCGTGAAGCTAAACTGTCGGCCGTGGAGAGCAGTAACTGCATGTGCAGGACACCGTGCAACATGACCCGCTACAACAAAGAGCTGTCCATGGTCAAAATTCCCAGCAAGACCTCGGCCCGCTACCTACAGAAGAAGTTCAACAAGTCAGAGAAGTACATCACGTAAGTAGCCAGAGCCTCTTGTCATGGTGTCTGTGCTGTTCTGTGCTGTCTGTTCACCAGCAGGCAATGCAAGAGACTGCAAATAAGTCTAATCTGTTTAATGGTCGCAATTACAAACTTCTTAACCAGCACACGATGTTCTGGTGCTACACGTAATGTCAGGATGGTAAGTAAGATTTGTGCTAATAGCATAGAATTAACATAAATACAACTTTAAATACATGTGCTTAAATCATGCCCGTTTAACCAATCAATGGGCCATATTCCTGAAATGTTTATATGCATGATTTAATCTTAAGTGGTACATTTTCAGATTGTAGGTAGAAACAGTTGGGAACACTTTTAAAGTAATATGCACCAATTCTTTATATGGTTTGTCATGTGCTGTAGGCAAAACATTAGGAAACATGAATACATGAATGAGTGCAGCTGATTGTTTTGGGGGGATTTCTCCCAAATTCACTCATTATCAATGCACCAAGGTGGGCTACACTTAAGCATTCACATTTACACCAACACATATTCATAGGCTCTAATTTACCTAATGTGGAGTAAAGCATCCAGAGGAAACTCACATTAAAAAGGGAAAAACATGCAAACTCACCACAGAGTGGATCGTTGTAGAATCAAGACAACAGCTCTAACTACTGAGCCTCTTAACTGCCCACATTGTTTCCTATAGCACTTTAAATTAAGTTTTTAAAGAATTAGAGTTTCTGTCTGGCTGTGCAACAAGTGTGTTCCCCTCCCACACAGTGGTTGTGTTTCCCTGATTGCCCAGCTCTGCAGGAGATGCATGGGCTGTTGCTGATTGTGTTACTTGCCAAGAGATTGCCTGATGTGGAATTCATTAGAACAAATGCCCTGTTTTTCCCTTCGCAGAGACAACATCTTGGTGTTGGACGTGTTTTTTGAGGCGTTGAACTATGAAACCATCGAGCAAAAGAAGGCTTACGAGGTGGCAGGTTTGCTTGGTAGGTTTTTACTCAATGTTACCATTATTTTCAAAACCTGAATCCAAAAGGACGTTAGTCTTTACCAAGCTACTTTTGAAATTATGTGTTGATTCATGGGAAATGGTTCACTGTGACTCATGGCACCAGATTTAAAAAAGATAATTCAAAGATGCCTGTCTGGATGGTCAACAGACTTACTGATTGTGCCATTACAGTTTGTGACAAGCCATCAACAAAATGTCGGCACTGTGAAATGATTTTAGTAGCAGAGGGAAAAGAGCAGCAATTAGTCTCACCAAAAGCTTCAATTGAACATAAAGAGGTCACTTTTCTTTAGTTTGTTGCTGTCACTTGTTTTAATATCGACCAGTTTAATTAAATGGAAATCTCGTGGGAGTGAGGCAGATGTTAGTTACTAAAACTGCCAAATGTGATTCATCCTATTTGAAATCCAATGCTTGAGACATTTTATGTGAAAGGGAAGAAATAATACACAAATGAGGTGGATTATTACATGACTCAAACTTGCAAACAAATGATCATGTTTAGAGTCTGTTTCGTTGTTTAAAGCTTTGGTCTTTTGCTATTTTCAAAAGTACTATTATTAAGAAATATCTCTCTTTCTACGCAATGCCCAATAAAAAGAGAAACACACCTGTACATATACAAACACACATACAAAATCACACACACAAATACATATACATAAACACAAAAATATAATGCAAACACACACACATGCTACTCTTTACGTGTACTTATTTTGTTTCATTGCTTTTTAATGCTTTGGCAACAGTGTTGTGACATTCATGTCAATAAAGCAAATTTGAACTGAAGTGAACTGAAACTAAGCTAATCATCAGTAATTGATAAATAAAGCAAAAATATGACCTTGGTTCATGTTTGGGTCTTAAATTTGGCATTAGCAGTTGGATTCAGGTGTTAAAGGCATGGGTCAGGACTGGGTTCAGGCCTCTTTCTGTGGCTCAGAGGTAGGGTGGAAGGTTGGCGGTTCAATCCCCGGCTCCTCTCGCTGCA